GTCATGCTGGAAAGACTGGTTCTGTACCTCCTCGATTCGGAAACTGTCCAGGAGCTGCTGGAGACGTTCAAACGCGTGGACCTGACGAAGTTGCGATCGCTGTGCCTGCACGGCACACCGATGAACTCGCTGCTCGCGGCCAACGCGTCAACACTCGAGACGCTCGAGCTACGAGGACTTTCTCCAGGTACACTGTCTCTTCTCTCAGGTCGCATTCAAACCGGCTTTTAGGGAGGTTTCTGGAAAACAACGCGCCCGCAGACGTCTTCACCGGGGCAGCTCAGCTCCTCACACTCGACATCCAAGTGCCGCTCCTGGTCTATCTCATTCCCATAGTCCGAAACTTCGGATCCCTGCGGCATCTGGTCAGACTGCATACCGTGGCCATTACCGTCACACAGAAGGCAACGCTGGCGGAGTGGACGGAGCTCGACCTGTTACTGGGAGGCGATCTTCCGGCGTTGAAGGAGGTGTGCATTCACACTGGCTCTGACTTCCATTTGGACCCGCATTCGGAGGAGCTGATACGGTCGTGCATGCCCGTCCTTGTGGGGAAGGGCGTGTTGAGGATAGTGGATTAATTGTAGTGCTGCACCCAAACTATCATACTATTGAAATACATCATGTTGGATCCTAATATTCCGCCGCTCAGGAGGACCCCCGAATATAGGCTCAGAGGTCATCCTGGAAAATCGCCGGGGTCCGAAATCTTGTCCGAATTTCGTGCCTGAATCGCGCCAAAATTTTGTCCGACACAACCTCAGCGGTAAGTGGGCGTAAAATTGCCAAAATTGGCATAAAAATCGCGAAAAAAATCTGGAAAGTTCTTAGATGCCTCGAGGTAGCTTCGATTGCATCCCGAAAAGCCTTGCAGCCACGAAGGAGTCATTCCAGCATCCGAATATGGGAGTTTGAGTGTTCAAACCAGCTCAACCACGCAGTCCAAGCAGTATAACGAGACACCATGTCCGAACTTCGACATGACTTTTTGGCGCCGACCCCCCTGGATATCCGAATTCTTACATGACGTCGCGCCGAGCGGGCTCGAAATTTGTCCGAATTTCCAGGACGGGGGGTCCTGGCTCAGGTCGGTGAGGACCCCCGAAAATAGGCTCGGAGGTCATCCTGGGAAATCTTCGGGCCGAATTTTTTGTCCGAACTCTGCGCCGAAGGCGCGCCAAATTTTTTGTCCGAATAACCGGCATGACCTCAGGGGGGTCCAAATTTTGTCCGAATTAATGTAAAATTTCAAAAAAAATCCCCAAGTGCGTGCAACTAGTTCTCGTCGTCGTCGTCCTCCACATTCAGAAGATTACTGGTCTCCGCCTTCCCGCGGACCGCATTCAGTGTCGCTACACCCTTGGTGAGCATTATTCAATTCCTTGTAGGTCACTGGTGAAATCGCTGCTTTCGTCGATCAAGCTGCAAGAGTTTGTCGACGGCCGATGTGCAGCAAGGTATGAGATTGACGGCAGATTGAGGCAGCTGGAGTGTAGGTTGGTCGTCATCATCGATTATTTCAATTGGGTCATTGGAAGCCATGGGCCCGGGAAATGCGAGAAGAGCAATGGTGAGTTGAATAGCGCGACTCGGGAGACCAAAGCACAAAATGTGAATTCCAGAATATACTGGACGGGTACCTTGTGTTGGATTACACATTGTTGGACGAAGATTACCAGGGTCGCTCTTGTCAAAGCACGCTCGCAGAACCATGTCCGAATTCTGTGATGACCTGTCGGGTCCGAGCCCCGCAGATGTCCGAATTCTGGCATGACATCGAGCGGGGCCGGCTCAGATTTTGTCCGAATTCCCGGGATGACCTCTGGGCCTATTTTCGGGGGTCCTGGTCGGTGTTCCGGCCTTGCACGTGTCCCCAAATCACCTTCTTTCCGTCAACGCGTCTATGCCCCCGCGGTCGACCCCTTCCCGGTCGACGCCCTCCCCAAAGTCATCCGGATACCCCCAAAACGACGTTGCCACCTACCGCGACCTCCTTCTCTTCGAAGAGCGACTCAAGTCCACAGCGGCCAGTCTCCAACGACGAAAGGCGCGCTACCAGGGTGCGTCTTTCGCCTGTCTTTCACTCTACATACCCCATATCTACCCCCATAGTATTCCTCGTCCAACTGCTCTTTGTGATCGCCTTCCTGCTGGTCGAGGTCCTTCTCCCCCCAGACATCTCCCTCATCGCGATCCCATGCAAGCTCGTGCTGCAGCGCATCCTCCCAGACATCTACACGCCCGAAACCGAGGTCCGCATCCACCCATACTTCTCCACCGGCCTGCTCTTCGTCACCGTCACCACCCTCGTCCTCTTCTTTGCGAGCGGGACCTACGCAGACAAGATCGCCTATGCAAACAAGTTGCGTCTTTTACTGCTACTTTATATATAAACTCCGACTTATTATGAGTTCGCAGATACGTCCCCCACGCGAACCGCGCCCTGCGCTCGTTCAACATGTACCTCAACGTCCGACAACCCCCACTTCGGAGCAAAATCCAGCTCAACCCGCTCGGGTTCTTCTTCGCGCGTCCCGTTGAGGACACACCCACTCCGTCGTCGACACCCTCCCACTCACGCACGTCTAGTTTGAGCACCAAGCTCGGCCCAGGCTCGTCCACCACGACCCTCATTCACATCCCAAACGCCCCCGTGCCCATCCCGCCGATGCCGCCGACGACCAACCCCCGCGGTGAGCTGCGCTTCTCCTCCCGCGTCGACCGCGCGTTTCGCGACGGCTACGAGCGCTACCGGGCAAACTTTGAGCGCCGACGGGCACTGCACGAGCAGCAGGCACGACAACACCTCGGGAGTTGGTGGTGGCCCCGATGGTCGTCGTCCTCTGAGCAGCAATCCCAACCACCGGTGTCTGCGGGACTCGATGGCGGTGGTAGGATGGGCACGCCTGTCCCAAAGGATAAAGAGGCTGGTGAGGTTACCGCAGCGCCCACTACCCCCCCGTCGCGAGCGCGAACGGCAGCGAATCGGTTCTGGTCTCGCAGAACGTAGAGGTACGCCGCCTTTGACTGCATCTACACCTCCACGCGATGCCAGTCCGCCCGCCAGTCGCATTCAGACGCGTGCTAGTTCGCGTCGCCAGTCTGCCAAGGGGACATCGCCGACACCAGACCTGGACGAGTCGAGGAGATGAGAGTAATAAGCTCTGTATTTCTTTTTCTTTCGTGTATCGATATTTTCATCCACCAGATAAGATAATACTGCAAAAGACATGCATGGAGATCTACCATACAGTACAAATTATATACCCTAACATACTTGTTGCAAGCCCGACACTCACTCAGCCCCACCCTCCAACGCCTTTACGATGCCAAACGCCGCTGCAGCCGCTACCCCACCAACCATCAATGTACTGACGGCACCCCAGACGTATCCTTTCGCACCAACAGCGGCACCCGTCACCTGCGCCTTGACCGCGCCAAAGACGAGCAACACCACGCCAGTGATGACCGCGCTCCAGATGAGCGCGACATGTGCCCGAGGGATGAAAAAGTACGGAATCAAGGGGATGATGCCGCCGATGAGGTACCCCCGCGCCGATGGTGAATGCAGAAATGTACAGCCTGCTCGTCGGCACTTCTTCGAGCCCAGCACCAAACTTGAGCAAGAATGGGGTAAGCCCGACTTGTTTGCTCCAGCGCAGCGACTCGTTCGACTCGAGGTCGTGGTGTGTCAGACTTGTCGCGGTGCTGCCACTCGGGAGTTCAGCGTCGCGGAGACAACGGGCGACTTGTCTGCAGGTGCGCTCGTCTACGCCAATAGGGGCCAGAACGTCGGCGACTTCGCGCTCCATCTCGCCATCACAGCTGCGGACGACGCGGGCCGCCGTGGTGTCCCGCAGAAATCGGTAGTGGTCCCGCTCAGACTGAGACGCCAGGAACCCCCCAATCCCCATCGAAATCGCACCGGCGATGAGCTCTGCAACGCCCCCAAGAACGACGAGTCGGGATTCGCCCAGTGAAGACAGGCCTGCGGCGAGAGCGAACGGGACAGTGAGACCGTCAGAGAGACCGATGACGCTGTACTGAGTAAGCCGACAAAAAACTCGACAGGAACTTGGAAAATGCACGCACACATCACGAACAACGTCCGGGTCAATGAGCGTGCGCTCTTCGCCTTTGAGTTCCTTGCAACAGACACCGTCGGGGCGAACATGGCGCGAACACCGTGCAGACGCTGGAATCGGCGCAGACTCGGGGGCGACAGAGTCGAGGGCCCACACCGGCGGCTTCGTGGTAGATTCTGCGGCGGCGGGACGTGGGAGGGGAACAGAGGCGGGCGTGGACATGGTGGTGGAGTGGAAAGAAAGAGGCGCTTAGCCGGCATTGGAAAATTGATCTCCGCGACACGTCGATCAACCAATCAGAGCTCGCCGATTGAGACGCGTCGAATGCTTCTTGGACGGGATGCAGGACTGCGAACAGTGGTTACTGTATGCAAGCCAGCTAGAAATTATTCGAAAAAAGAAACAAACGTGTACTGCAACCGCGTAATCAGCAGCTACCGGTCGCAGGGCTCACGCGTTCACGTTCGCCGACGAGAACTGAAGGGCTAAAGCTGGAGCCACACCGAGGATGATCCTTTTGAGAAACAACGCGTATTCCGACTGTTCATAACCATCGACCGAGGTTGAACAATACCGGAGGACCTAAGCACTGTTTGATGCATGCGCAGGTGATGAACGGCGAAGCCTCATTCGGCCCTTGAACTTCAAAATGAGCAACACCTCCGGACAATAATCCAACACTTTAGAGGAAATAATGACCTTCAGAAAGTATGTTTTGCATCTGGAATATGGTTCCTTGCAATTGTTGCATCAAAGTTGATTCACAACACAACCTCCTTCTCCTGCTCCCCGAACCCTCAGCCACGTCAAAAAGGCCTCCAAAACACTGAAAGGTCGTTGCATCTACGACGGGATAGAACACCAAAATGTCGGCGGTATCTCTGAAAGCAGCCGAGAAGGCGCGAAAGGCAAAACTGATTCGACCCAGGTTCGAACTGAGGACCGCCTGTGCACACAAGAGTTTCCTTGTTAGACAGAAGTGATAACCAACTACACCATCGAACCGATACAAAGAGCTTCAGAAGATTCCTGGTATCAGGAAAGCTCCTAAAAGGTCAATGAAAAGCAGCGAAGTTCAACCTCAAAAGAGTTTTCACTTGAGAGAGCTTTGACTGTAGGTAGACTGCCGCTATGACCGCAGTAGATGTACAAATCGTGGGTTGGATAAACGAGTAAGTAAGCTTGGAAAGAACGAGTGAACACATGAAGAACTCCACCCTATCGTACATACACTGTTTGTCTTCGGTTAAACTCGTTGTTCATGTTGTGGACCACGCGTGTATAATGAAACCCTCTGGAGGCATACACACACCAAATGACAATGTTCCTTATGTCCATGGTGGGCTCAATATAGTAGGAGTGTGCGGGAGTTGCAATTGATGATGACATGATCTCACCTGCGTAGGGTTTTTCATGGTGAAGCATTCCACTGGCAGTAACCAGCGATCTGGTGTCTAAAGTATCTTCCAATGCAAGGAAGATGTGCTTTTTTTCGAGAGTATTTGATTTCGAGTGAAGAAAAGGTACGAACGGGATTGACAGCGGCTGGTCTAAATATCACGGCTTCTCCGCCTCCGTTCCCTTGCTGGACCCCACCCCGAGCTCAATCTCTACATGCCGCGCTGGAGATACCCCATACATCAGGAAACCAGGATGCGTAAAGTTCAGCGTAATGATCGCAAGGACGATCATCAAACCGTCGAGCACATCTAAGCGCTTAGCTTTAGAGCAGAGAAGCAGAAAACAAAACGCACTGAAATATACTTCGGTCTGCTCAATCCGCCCCTTGAACCCGTCCGCAAGTTCGACAACACGATATACTGCACGGGTGAGCAAGCACAGCGTGTTGAACGACATGCCGTAGAGCAGGACCCGCATGCGCGGGGTGAGTGCGCCGCGGGTAGAGGCAAAGCCTGCGTGCTTGGCGAGTGGGAGATCGTGCATATACCGGTAGAGAAATTCGGCCGCGCAGAGCACATAGACGGCGATAGTGACGAGTTGCAGAATGATTCCGAGGAGCATGATGTGGCTACCCTACGAGTAGTGAGCATCGCGTACCGAGGTAAATCAGGACCTACTGTCTTGGGCGACTTGGATGTTGTCACAGCGTGCGCTGCGATACCCCCGCCAATCCCTTGCACAAAAAGCGCAAGGATATCGCAGCAGAGGAAGATTGTCGTGTCTGCTAGTTGTGAGCGACCACAAGAGACCCCCCAAAAAAAATCTCACATCTTCTGGGACCCAGCCGACTATACTGAGGACCTAAGCGCGTTATGATACCACCGAGGATGGTGAAGTTAGCGGCAGCGAGCGGAGTCGGTCCGCAGAGCGTTGTTATCAACCTGTCGTTAATTCGAAATGAGTGTTAGATGCTCCAGTTCAATTCCAACACGCACTGAATCTCGAACGGGTGCACCTGGTGCGGAGCGATCGAAGACCAAAGACGCCCTGCCCATCCGACAACCTCTATCGCACCGGCAAAGATGGCGGAGGGGAAGAGCCACCACAGACGGTAAGTAATAGCCTGTCCCGTATGTAGCACTAGAGACAGAATGAATATCGCGACGGCGAAAAAAAAAAATCACACACAAGTCGAGATGGAGAAGAGAACGACAAAGATAATGCAGACGTACTCCGTCGGCGTATAGCCATACGGCGAGAACGGCAGAACAGTGACGCCCATACCGCAAATGCAGAAGGAAAGTGAGGGAAGTTACTCTGGGCCCATCCAAAGCGCGTCTATTAAGTAAACTATCACCAGACTGTCACCGACGCAACACCGTCGGAGCGGGCCGCAGATGATTCCAGCGGTAACGCAGCCGGCTTGCCATACGGAGATAAGAAAGCTGGACCGCAGCAATGGGTACTGGCGATTGTGCCCAGTGCCCACTTCAAAAAGTTTCCCGGGCGACGAGACGAGGACTGAGAGAAGTTGGCGCATTCTGCCGTGGTGAACCCACATGAGTATTCAAGCTGAGGATTCGGGATTGAACCACAGCTGAAGCCTCGGCGCTGAACAGAGGTTTCACAGCGACTGGGACCGATTGAGTTGAGTTGGCCATGGATGGAAGTTGGATGCGGGCCGACCCCAAATGCGGATACTGCTCATCACCGGATCAAAGCGCGTCTGAACCCGCGCAATTTCCCCGCATTGCTCAAGACGAGCATTGTTCTCAGGCTAGGAGCTGGAGGAAAGATTGTTTCTTTCACCAACATTCTCAAGATGTGGGACTCGCTTGCCACCTGCTCGACTACATGGATCTAGCACCGTTTCTCAGGCTCTTTCATGACTCTCAAAGCTCGCCGAGCCGATTCAGCATCGTAGCACGGTGGTTACTTCGTCTCCAAACCCCTCGACTGGCTTCGGCGGACACTTGGTCATATTCGGAAACGTCAAAACTTGTCAACGAGCGTACGCCAGATCCACAACGCACCCGTTTCGCACAACCGTTCCACGTACTTCCCCGCAGAATCGACGAGACCTTCTATTAGTAAAGCGTCGTAAAGCGCTCCCTTCGAGCTCGTCGCTGTGAAGCCTTGAAGACGGTTCTCTTGCTGCTTTCGCGCGCATTCCGAGTCGAGGGCGTTCTGGCGGTGATGCATCATCTCTCGGACGCCAGCCAGGGGCCCAGAGTACCATTTACATTTGCCACACCTCATCTACTTGTTCCTGGCCCACGGCCCTGACTGAACGGAGCGCGCTAGCTAGCTTCGATGCTCTCACTTTGGTTGTAGTCAAGACCGTCATCAGCCGGGCGATTCAGAGTCGAGACCCTGGTGAGTCCTAAACATCATCCGCCCTGCGCTCCACTCATACCTTCTAGTCTCACGGTAGTAAACTGGTGCAGGTCCAGGGTAGCCGTGACTTGCCTACTCAGCAACAGAACGAGAGGCTCGTGACCAGGTGGCCCAGAAGCGTCGGCGAAGATGCTCAACCAATGGACTACTTCGACGCTTCGCGTTACGGTTCTTCTCTTTGGCCGTAAACGCGAAGAAGAAGCATAAGAAGAGCGCGTCGTATCCATACAAGTAGAGCATGTATTAGCCGCGGCCGGCTTGTTACATTGAGCGACTCCGAGCTATGGCACAGTAACAATATATCGCTTGCATAAAGCATACTGGTGTACAAACATACGAAACATTCGCATAAGTAGTAAGTAAACTATCCCTTAAAACGAAAGTGTCCTGGCCGACGACTAGATTTGCTTGGGCGGTATAGGGGGTATTTTCGACATCGATTCTGCCTCTGCTTTCGGTTTGGATCCCCCTTCGCTCTTCGACTTTGACTGCAGAGGTACTACAGAAGCCGAGGCCCGACGTCGTTCGCGGTCACGACTGCCATTTGCATCCGTACTCGGGCTAGCAGCACCTGTGTCCCGGCCCTCAGTCCCCGCGCGGACGTCGGAGGAATGACGCCTGCTGCTACGCAGCAATTTGGATTTCTTGGTCGAGTTGCTGGCACTGGCGCCAGAACCACTCGCAGCTGCGGGGTGATCGGTGGTCGCTGTCGTTGAGCCTTGGCCAGCATTCGAGCCCTCCGCAGCCAGCTCAATCGTGTGCATCGCGTCGAAAATGGGAGTCGCGTGGCGGGGAGTGGGCGAAGCGATGGTGAGTTGGCGCGTGCGCGACATGGTAGAGTGCTGCTGCTCCGAGGCGGCGCGACGAGATCGCGTATTCGACGAGGATGAGCGAGGAAGGGTGAACGATGTGGGGCGTAACTTGACTCCAGACGCCGGGGAGAGAGAGGACGAGAACGAGAAGGAGAAGGTTCCCGAGTTGGCGTTGTTGGATTTGGATTTCTTGGACGTCGAAGCCGGAGAGGACTCGGAGGCTGAAGCGGATTTCGTTGGGACCGGAGGTGGGGAAACGACACTAGAAGCCTGCGGCGTAGGTGACGCTTTAGGTCTGGCTGCCGTGCCTGAGGACTTCTGCGGGACCGAGGCGACGCTGGGGGGCCGAGACACTAGGACCGGTTCGTCGTCAACGTCGTTATTGGCCGCCTCGTCATCATGGTCGCGTCGCCAGCGCGATGGGTATCGAACGGTGCTCAGCGAACGGCGAAGGGACCGAAACGCAGACGCAGCGCTGGCTCGCCGCTTGCTACTCGACTTTTGCTGCACTTCGGGGTCGTCCATAACAGGCTCTGCGAGAACAGTCAGTTGACGGTTCTCCCACGAATGCTGCTCTGAACAAGGTATCATTTGACGACGTACCTGGCGGCTGCTGAGATCCAGTGGGACGTAGAACACCATATTGTGCCCCCGGCTGCCCGACATAGGACGCTCCATGTGTGGTCTTGTAATAGTACTGGCCAGTGTCGGCGTCGTAGCCTGTGCGGACCATTCCTTCAGGAAGACGATACACGTCCTGAAATGTTGCATTAGAAATAGAAACTACACGAGCTTCGCGCAGACATGAAGCAGACTCGGAGGGAAAGGAGTCCTAGTCGTACCTCGTCGTATTGGGTCCATCTGCCCATGGTTGCTATGGCGGGGTTGGGGAAGAAGAAGCTGGGGGATAGAGTGGGGCTGAAAGTAAACCGTAACGTATGAGTTGCACTGATATCGAGTCGTGTGCACTCAAGGCGCCCATGGCTGTTCAATGGCTGGATTTGGTAGCGTGAGTCACGATCACGTGGGTTCACGTCACCGTAGCAGACCGTAGCGCCCAAGGCGATTGAGCGGTGACAAGCGCGCCTTTGCTTCTTCCTCTCATGGCACCCATCCCAGGCCTCGTCTACCTGCGCTTCAAAGACAAGCTGAAGCTTGTTCCTGCCTCCAAGATACACCAATCATATGCTGTCTGTGGTCGTTTCAGGCACGCTCTCTCGCTCACCCACTGGCACCCTACAGAGCGTCGTGGTATACATCCAGACTCAGATCCCCGAAACTCAAGGGAAGACGTTTGATATAAAGGTCGACCTCGATGAGCCCAACGTCACGATTAGCGGTGACGCCTGGTGTTATTTCGTCGACGCTCAACTCGAAAAGACAGCGACCGAGGTC